AAAAACAACAAATAGTTGAATTGAGTCAAATTTTTTTGGTTTGGTTAAACAATTAAAAACCAAATTTAATTTTAAACCAAATCAAAATTTTGGTTCAATTATGGTTATGGTACTAAAATTGCAAAAACTAAAAGGAGCTTTCAACTTAACCAGATTAGTAAAAAATTTAGTTTAATCCAAAAGCCTAAATATACTAAATTTTTTTAGTACAAAAGTCAAAATTTAATTTGAAATTTAACAAAAATTCAAAATTTTGGTTAAAACCAAACTAAACAAAAAATTTTGGTCAACTTAACTAAATTTCTAAACTTTAATTCAGTTCGGGTTCTATTTTGAAGATGTTAATTGATAAATTGGATTGGCTCAAATTTTTCTTTTTGATTCAATGACCAAATCAAATTGATGCTAGCACTAAGGCCAGGCCAAGTGCATGCCCCCTAATACATTCTTTAGGCAGAAAATGCTAATTATTTTCTCAACTTGCAAGTTTGTGACATAAACCTTTTACTAAATTTCGTGGAAAGCCGACCTCAAACTTCCATTGTCGTGACAATTGCTTTATATTTAAAGGATGACATCATATATTAACATCTTTTTGTTTAGATTTAACTATGCTTGTTTGAGTGGATCCCACTTGCTAATGTGTGATTATTTAACAATTAATAAATTAATGTTTGGTTAGACTCAATTGAAACCCTTAAACCCTAAAAATTTGGATTGTAGGGACATAGTCAAAGAAATTAAAATTTAAAGGGCTAAAGTGCAGATCTATGAAAAAGAGCGGACAACGCAATAAAATTAAGAAGATAAAATCAATGTGTGAAGAAAATTTCTGTGAACGGTGTCGTATTTGGTAAGGGGTTTAAATCAACAAAGTTGTCTTCCTCCTCATTCTGATTCTGCAAAGTTAGCTAACGTTTCTTCCTAAATCCACCAAGATTGTTCGCAATTATGGAGAAGGATCCCAAGATCTCATTTAGGTGTGCTTCCATGAGAAGATTGGAGGGGGCTCCTTCTCCTTCCTAAACCAAGTTGCTTAGGGAAGAGGTAAACTCTCCAAATTTCAGTTTTTACTCTTTCCTTTTAAGCAAATTAGGCTGTGTTGTTCGTTGAATTCAATTTGGTTAGATTTGAAGAGAAATGGTTATATTATTATATGAGATAGCAGAAATCAGGAAGTTTCGATAATTAAAAAGACTTAAATATCATAAATGAACCATGACATTTAAAAATGTCAGGATCAAGATGCCTTGAAAAACAGGCTACAGTTCTAACATTTGCTATTTATACAAAGAAAAAAAAAAAGAAAAAAAAAGAAAAAAAAAGAAGAAAAAAACACTCCTCACAACTTGAGACTAGTAGTATTGCTATATCTATAATGGTATGATAAAATGCACTGTGTCTTTAAACCTCTACAATTTCATCTTCATTGCATTCATCTCTTTGGAGTGTTGAGGTTTCTCCATGGTGTGTCAATACCTCAGAATCAGTTGAGAGGCCGTGTCTCTTACCAATAGCAGCTAGTTTTTTGTACAATTGAAGCATTGTTGGCCTTTGATCTGGATATGGTTGAACACAATCCAATGCAACCTTCAGAAACTGAAAGATTTCCTGGTCAAATCCTTGCCCCATCAGTGATTTATCAACAATGCTATAGAAATTAGAGCTTGCAGAGAGAAGGGTAACCCAATTGTTGAGTGGCTCATAGCTAGTGTCTGAGTATGTTGTCATGCCTCTAGGATCCTCTCTAGTGATCAGCTCGAGAAGCAAAATTCCAAAGCAATAGACATCCTCTTTAGCAAAGCTTGATTCCCAAAACTCAGTATTAAGTGAGAAGCTTTCAGTTGAATCAGTACCATATGATTTCACAAGCATTGCCTCTCCGAAGTTTGATAACTTGGGAACAAAATTCCCATCAAGTAAGATGCACTTGGAGCTAATGGCAAGATGGAAAACATGAAAATAGCACCCTTGATGGAGCCAAACCAGGCCTGTTGCTGCTCCAATTGCAATTTTAACCCTTAAGGGCCACTCCATGATTCTTGCCTCACCTTCTTCAGGATGTAGCCAATCATAAAGACTGCCTTTTGACATGTATTTATAAACCAGAAGCTTTTCCTTTGAGTGTATGCAGAATCCGAGGAGGGGCACAAGGTTCTCATGCCTCAATCTACCTAGTGTCTTCAATTCTGTTATGAAATGCTCATCAAATAGGTGAGTGTCATGTAATCTCTTCACAGCGAGGAGCAATCCATTAGGCAGCACTGCCTTGTAGGTTGTCCCCATCTGTCCAATTCCAATGATATTTTCTTGTTTGAGATAGTTTGTTGCTTCATTGATTTCTGTATAACTCAGTCTGGAAACTAGTTTCACCAGGACAGAAATCTGTGATTAACATCCACGTTCTAAAATTAATACTAAATCATGCAGGAAAATTAGACTAAAAGTAAATTATGTGCTAGAGAGTTAAAGAGTGTACCTCTGGGCTTTGTTCATGTAGAAATTCCACATATGGCATTTTCTTCATGTGCTGAGATTGCTTTCTTTCGTTCTTCTTTTGCTGTATCTTATGTAGTTGGAATTGCATTGGTACTTTACTCTTCTTCTTCTTGTCTTGTGTCCATGGCACACAACTGGAAATAAATGTAGTGATAACTAAAAAAGCAGAAACTGCATAGCTAACAACAAAACCTTTTTTGAATGTATCACTTTCTGACGTACTCTTGCAGGGCTCTAAAGGTTTTCCACAAAGCCCCGGATTATTAGCAAAGCTATCACTTGAAATATCATATAAAAAATTAGGTACCGGACCGTATAATAGATTATTAGCGACAGTAAAGGTCCTAAGTCGACGAAGCAGGCCAATTCCTGGTGGGATATGACCTGTTGATTGATTGTGATCAAGATTAAGAACATTCAGATGATTGTGATCAAGATTAAGAACATTCAGAAAAGTAATATTGGCTAAACTCTTCGGGATTTCACCTGAGAATTTGTTGGAAGAAAGTTTAAGTGAAGTTAAATAAGGGAGGATACTTGATATATCAGGTGGAATTGGTCCAGAAAGCTCATTGTTTGAAAGGTCTAGCCCCGTTAAGCCAGAGCAACCACTTATTCCTCGTGGAAACTGGCCCTTCAGACCCATGTCGGATAGTTGAATGTTCAGCACCACGTTTTCATCCGCATGCCAGCATCCAACCCCTGTAAAACTGCAGATGAAGCCCTCTGTATAGTTGTTGAAGTCCCACGTAGCATTGAGGTAACCGAATGGGTCATCCAGTGAGTCTTTTATAGATTTCAGGCAATCGATATCAGATGTAAGGCCGTTACTTGCAGTGCTCAGCAATGACCAAATCAAAGCGTGGAGAAATACCAGGCAAAGTATGGAAGGCATTTGCAAGCATGAATGTAGTGCAAACAAAGAAATAGAGATGAAGCTTAGGGGGATCTAAGGGATGAAAGATACAGATAATTACAAGAGGAAAATCAGATTGATCCTTGAAGGTCCTTAGAATAAACAAGAAAATTATATGAAGGACAAGGCCGGAATGAGACCAGGCTATAAGCAATATAATTCAGGACAACTTCTGCATCACATTTTCTATATTTCGATCACTTTCCAAGAATAGTAGGTGATATAAAAGCAAGGAACTGAAAAGTCTACTATACTGGTTAGAAAACAAAGACTGGAATACCGGCCTTTGATTATGATGGAATGAAGATTTCCAGTCTTCAATTTATTAAAGAGTTTAAAAAATTCTTCTTTCTTTAAATCTTTGGACTGCACAATAATAACATGGAATTGAAAAGTCTAAAATGCTGGATAAAAAACAAAGACTGGCATTCCAGTCTTTGATTATGAAGGAATGAAGATTTCTGGTCTCCAATTTATTCGAGAGTTTAATTTTTTTTTTTTTTTTAAATTTTCAGACTGTACAGTAAAAAAATTCTTTTCTCATCCTTTTAACTCTTTTTATGTGCATGCTTAAGAAACTGAGGATTTTTTTCTCTTACTGAAAGGATATTAGCATTTAACCCCTTGAGTTTATGGCCGAAGTTTAAAAACATTTGCCCATCAAAATAGCTGATGTTCCACTCAAAATGACTTCGACGGCGAGCTATCGACGTATTTGTAGGACTCGCAAAATTTACAACTTAGAGGCGTCAAGAAACTACTCTGTAATGGATGTGGGACAATGAGTTAGACCTATTCCATTGACTCTGCCATCCCTTATGAGGTTGACTCCGTAACAGTAAGCCATCATTGATTTTTTATTATTATTATTATTATTATTATTTTGGGGTGATGTTTCCATGAAATTTTCTCATTTCCCAACATGTATATATTTAAAATAAAATCTTTTTATCATCAAATGTTTAACGTTTTAACTTTTTACGCCCCTAACTAGTTTCCATCTCCCTCTGAATTTCATTTTTGAGTAGCATCTAAAACGGAAACATACAAATATTTCTGAGTCTCAGCTGACTGATATATAAAAGAAATGGGATTACATTTTTGTTCTTAAATCATGAACTTTAGAGTCTAGGCGACAATAAGAAAAAAAGGGGCTTTTTTTTAGGAAAAAAATGTGGAAATTGTATTAAAATGAACAAAATTAAGTTACATATAATTACATCGTGGAACGTATAACAAAAGCAGAAGCATATATTGCATGGTAGTAGGTACAGGATTGAATTATGTTCATAATAAATATAAATAATTAAGTATAAAGAGTAATTTATACTTAGAGTTATATTAACAAATGCTATAAAAACATAATTAAAGAGAATTACTAAGTAGAAAGAAAGTCATTGATTTCAGGCCTTGATTACCCCCTTTTTTTTTTCTTTGGGTAAATTCAAGCCTTGAATTTGATCAAAGAGTTTAAAACCATTTGTACATATTGAGAAATGTAGGCTTTTTTTTTAAAAAAAAATTAGTTGTTTTGAACAATTTACAACTGATAGCTAATATATAATTATTAGTAGTGTTTAAATTATAAATATATATTATATATATAAGGTAATATTTATTTATCAATAAATTTACTCCTTTTTTTTTACCTTTTTGTAATTTTATTTTAGATAACAATACCTGATATTTCACCGTCAAAAGTTCTAAGAATAAGAATTATGGATCAGGGATCCCACCCATAAAGAACGGTAGAGTGGTAAAATAAATTGCTTGATGTTAAAAAATTAATCATAATTACTGCCAGTTATGCTTTAACATGTGTATCATTTTCTTGTCCCAAACTTGAATAGACAGGGTCAATGAACAAGTCTATCTCATTGGAAATTATTTAATTAAATAACATAATGATAATTTTTTTTATTAAAAATAAAAAATTTAAAATTTAAATTACATGAGTAAGAGTGGATTAAAGATAAGAAAAAATTATGTCTAACTGTGCAACTTAAATTAAAAAAAAGAAAAGCCTATCACATTATAAATATATAGGTCAAAACCCCTTTTTGGTCCCTAAACTATTGTATGGACCCCTGATTTGGTCCTTGAACTAAAAAAATCCCTGATTTGATCCCTACTGTTTACCATTTTTACCCCGATTTGGTCCTTCCGTCAAATATCAACCTACGTGTCCCGTTACTTGACGGGAAAACGATGACATGTACAAGCATTTTGACACCTAGGATGTACGGAGTGACAAAAAAAATGAGATGGCAAGAAAAAAATCTTAAAAAATTTCTTATTCCTTTTTTTTTTTCTTCGTTTGTTTTTCCTTTTTCCCTTTCTTCTTCCTCTCCCTTTCCTTTAACCTTCTGCAAACCCTAACTCTTAATATTAAATTCGAGAATAACACAACAAATCAATAGATTAAACTCAATAGATACTTGACCCAATGGCTGCTGGGTTCGAAACGAAACCCAGAGCCTCACTTGTAGGAACCCAGCAGCTGCTCAAACCTAGCACCCGCTGGGTTTGAAATGAAACCCATCGCCTGCTGGGTTCGATTTCGAACCTAACACCTGCAAAAACCTAGCAGCTGGTAGGTTTGAATTGAAAAATCGAACCCAGCACCTGCACAGTAACCCAGCAACTGCCTTGCCTTGCCTTCTTCATCTTCATCAATCAATTTTTTATCACAATCAAACAACAAATTCCAAAAAACAAAAACTTTTTTTAATTTTTTGCACCTGGGTTCGCAAGGAACCAAACCCAAGCGTGTTGGGTTCCACGGTGCGAACCCAGGCAAGCGTCCTTGCGAACCCAGCAAGCTTGCCTGGGTTCGCAAGGAACCAAACCCAAGCGTGCTAGCAAGCGTCCTTACGAACCCAAGCAAGCGTCCTTGCAAACCCAGCACGCTTGGGTTCCTTGCAAACCCAGGCGCTGGGTTCGCAAGGAACCGAACCTAAGCGTGCTTGGTTCGATGCGAACCCAGGCAAGCGTGCTGGGTTCGGTTCCTTGTGAACCCAGCGCCTGGGTTCGCAAGGAACCCAACGCTTGGGTGGATTCGCAAGGAACCCAGGCCTGCTGGGTTTCGAGGGGAAAGAGAAGGGAAAGGGGAAGGAGAAAGAGAAAGGGAAAGGCGAAGGAGAAAGAAAAGAAAAAAAGATAAAAAAAAAATTTTAAGTTTTATTTTTTATAATATTTTTTTATATTATTATTTTTTTCCACATCATCACTTTTTGACTATATTATCTTCCACGTGGATTACTATATGACATGTCATCTGATAACCGTGAAGTAACAAGCCACGTCACACAATTTTTAACGGAAGGACCAAATCGAGGTAAAAATGGTAAACAATAGAGACCAAATCAGGGATTTTTTTAGTTCATGGACCAAATCGGGGGTCCGTACAATAGTTCAGGGACCAAAAAGGAGTTTTAACCAAATATATATAACCATAACCTCGAGGGTTGAATACACTTATAATAAATGAGATATTGTAGCTTAGGTTAGGTTGTTTAGGTTAGTACTCAATAAAATTATTTTGTTTTAAATACATTAAATTGATATAAGGTGTGCCATTAAAATTATTATAAAAACTGACCATAAAACATTTCAGAGTAAATACAAAAAAAATACACAAATTAGTTGAGGTATTAGGAAATTTCTCTGTAAAATATATAGACGTAGGACTATGAGATAGACTGGTTGTCCTTGACCCTGCCGTCCTTCATGGGGTTAAGGCCCACCGTCCCACTTTTCCTTTAATTAATTGGCTGAATTGTAACTTAATCCTTAAGGAAGGCTGGCTTTAGGGTAGGTTCTTATCTCCTAAATAAATTATGACATTTAAAATATTAGGAATTAATATGTCTAAATTTTCATTTTTCTTAAATTATATTAACTTGCAATAAGATAAAAAAAGGCAAAAATTAGGGCTACAATTATAACATCCGCTACTTTTACATAAGGAGCTAAGAAAATATATATTTTCCCCTTGAGTATTAGAAATTTTGCTATATCTATCATAATATATGATAAACGCTC